GAGAGAGAGAGAGAGAGAGAGAGAGAGAGAGAGAGAGAGAGAGAGAGAGAGAGAGAGAGAGAACGTGTTTGTTTCTTTGTGGGTAAGCTCCAACCGTAGGCTTCGCGCCGTATAAGAAGAATTGCACTGCTGATGGTCGGTGGTTCTCAACTGGTTGGCCCCTGACCAGCCGACCGGCCGACCAGTCGGAAGGCACCAGTTAGGCAGTCGTTGGCCCTTTCTTTTTCTCCTCATCCTCTTCCTCCTCCAGTACACTTTTGAGGTAAGTGTTTCCGCTTATAGAGCTTTTTCAGATCTGTTTCATTAACTTTGTATGCCTTAAAATTCCGCTCCTATAGTTAATTCAGCTGAGTATTGCTCAAGTTGCTGTGGATAAAGCTTTTGCCCAATGACATCGAACACACCTTGCTTTTCAATTTTTTATGGTGAAATCTTAGGAGAATCAAGATCTGAGCGGTGAATAGGGTCACCTTTGTATCTTCTTGCACGCCATCCCGCCTGATTGAGAGGAGACATCCCCTGTCTGAAGCCACTCTCCTCATTTACATTTGATATAAAGGAGGATGTCGGAGACAACATGTCGGGGAGTAAACTGCAACCTGATGTTTCTGGCCGCACTGGATCACTTCTTATAAGTTTTCAAACTTCCACACTTTCAGAGAATCAAGATCTGAATGGTGAAGGGCCAGCGGCCTAGCTCAATAGAGCACCTAAGTAGCATTCAGGAGGTCGTGGGTTTGATTCCCCACGTTGTCCATTTTGTTCCCTGCGCCCTCCTGCGGCGCACTTTGGGATCATCAGCTGAGAAGCTGAGATAAGGGGTTGCCCCCCCCTGGTTGATCTTGGCAGGGGTATTTGGGGTACTCCTGTCATCTTGCAATTGGGGTTACGCGAGCCTGGGTACTACTCCCCGCACAAAGTAGAGCGAAATTAAACCAGGAGAGACTTGGCTCAACCCTGTGGGAGCTTGGGGAGCTGGCAACCCATAACGTTCAGCGTCCATGCCACATATGAACAACATTACATCGGAATTCCTGGGTAGCTAGCGTGAGGCCATCTCAATAGAAGAGAATAGCGTAGGGTAAAAAAGAAAGCTGTCTGCCGTATGAGGTGCATACAGCTTTTTCTTAAACCACTCGTACCTCACCCAGTGTTGGGAAATTAGGGAAAACTGGCAGTTTTCCCAAACTCCTGAAAATCCGGAGGCCGGGCCCGACGACGGCTGCCATTGATAAATCTGATCGGCGGCCGTTGTTTCGTTTTGGCCATCCGAAAAGGTCAGAGGCCCACCCGAGGCCCGCTATTTTCCCAAGCGGCAAAGGTACTAGTGGTTTTGAAAAAATAAAGTAAAATCTGAATGGTGCAATCACACTCGTTCTCAAACACACTTTTCATGCATGTAAACAGCAACGCAGTATACTGGCGACATGCGCCCACTCAAAACTCAGAGATATGGCTTTCAGATACGAGTTCACTCTCAATTGGCTATGGCGACTTCAGCACCCAAACATCTCACTGTTCACATACACTGGATCACCCTGGATATCCCACACGCATCACTCTAACACTCGAGCACACACACACACTCACTACTAACTACAGCTATGGCAGCTATGGCTGCCTCTAACCTATCGCTATGCTAACTCCTCC